TGGAGGACACCCCTTACTTTCTTTAGCCATTGATTATAATAGCCCTCGGTATTCCTAGGGCATGGCGCTCATTAAAACAAGTGTATACGCCGTAGTGCTCACGGGGGGAGCCATGGGTGCCGACTGATGCACATGTGCAGTGTGACCGTTGAATTAACTGACCCCAGATGCTAAGAAAGCCTCGAGCAGATGAGGCTCGTTAGCTGGGGACAGCCACTCTTCTAGGAGAGACAACTCCAAAATTAAACAACTGCTGCCTTGTAGTTTGTTCTTGGTTGGACAAAGGCTATGGAAGCAAATCCAAAAAAGAAAAGCAGGCTGAAATCGGAGTCAATGGCCTCAATGGCGCATAACCAGTTGACACGTAACGCTTAATTGTGTTGGAGACGTGGTCGAGTCGGCAAAAAGCTCATGGTTGATAAATTCGAAAAAGTCTCGAGTTCAAAACCCACTGGCAGATAAATCTCGATCCGCCTCAACACTAATAATTAAGAACGAAGAAGAAGAAAAGAAGCTAAGAAAGCCGCTTGGAAACTTTTGTGGAAAACCGAACCGCCTTACTGTCAAGGGGCCGCTCTCCGAAGAAAATTTTTTAAAATATTTAATGAAAGAAAACTTTGCAAGAGTCACAGTTTCTTTCTCGATTCTTTGCGAGGGGAGAGGCACTGCTCCTCATGTGTGGGGTTGTGTTAGGAAATTTCAGGGTCAGTAGAGGTTTGTCTAAATTATTATAAATGAATTCCCAATGTTTCATGGCGATTGGATAATTTTTGTATTAATGCACAAAGAACAAGGAAACAAAAATCTTTAAGAAGCGGCATATTGATTCGAGATAAATGATATCAACAAACAAATTGTGATTAAGGTTAAAACTAGAAAAACATTGACACATTTTCGACGTGAAAACACTTTCCACGATTGTTATTTATAATTTTTTTTAATAAAAAACGATTTAATAACAAGCTTTTATGTACTAGTGCACTAAAATGTAGAAAATAAATTAGACTACTATTTAAATAACTATAAAGAAAAGCGTGGGTCACTTTAGTATCTATTGGGTACCTTTACTAATGTTTAGGAAGAGACCCACGCTTTTCTTTATAGTTATTTAAATAGTAGTCTAATTTATTTTCAACTTTTTAGTGCATTAGTACAGAAAAGCTTGTTATTAAAACGTTTTTATGAAATTTTGTTTTATTACTTCATGTTTTTATTTACAATAAAGTTTCAAGACTAAAAACCTATTGAACGTGATGACGCGCTATTGAACGTGATAACGCATGTGGTGTGGTTGGATAGAAATGCCTACTAATTTGGTCAAAATTTTAATTAATTCATATTCATAAAAAACTAATTAGGCATCCAATTAAGTCAAATTTATTTTCAGATTGCATTGTCTTCAAGTCTTATAACTATTTAAATAGTAGTGTGTCGTTTATTTTCTACTTCTTAGTGCAGGGGTCGGCAACCTGCGGCTCGCGAGCCGCATGCGGCTCTTTTGATGTTAAGTTGCGGCTCCTCGGCTCCATGCACAAATATTAATAATTAATTTATGTTATTTTCAAAACTCATCAAAATATTGTTCTGCAACACTTGTTAATTAATTAAATAATAAATTTAAACAATAATCACTCGCTATTCTATTAGAATATTTAGGTACACCCTATTTTTCATGTACTAAAAAACGTTTGTGGCTCTTTAAGAACTGGTAAATTTTGTAAATTGCATCTTTTGGCTCTTCCGTTGGAAAATGTTGCCGACCCCTGTCTTAGTGCATTATAGTTTGCCATTATAACATAAAAGCTTGTTATAAAAACATTTTTTTTTTTACTTTGTTTTAATAAAAAAACTTAATTATCATCTGATAAATCATCGTCTTCCATGGACTCTTCATTGACATCTCCATCACTATTATCATCTTTGTCCCAATCTTTCATCTTTGCACCTAACATAAAATCATCTTGTAAAATTTTCCATTTGCCTTTCTTTTCATCATCATTATAAATAATCTGGGGGCTTTTCCCCTTCAAACGATCAAGAAATTTTCCTTTTGTAAACTCTGACATGACCATGTCCTTTTTTCGTTCTGAAGGCCCCACTGAAGATAACTTTTCTTTCATCAACTTCTGGTCTTCATTTACAGATCTGAATAGCTGAACCATACCTTGTGTGGCAATTTTTCTCAACCTAACCTCTCTTGGGTTATCAAGTACTGATGGCTTTTTTCTTCCCATTGATTCCCAAATTTTCCTCTTCTCTTCTTTAAAAAATTCACTTCTTTTTTCTATCTTTTTTGATTTCTTTGGTTTTGTAAGGCCATCTCCATCCTTAGTTTCTTCCCTTAGTCTTTTTCTGTCTGATATATCTTTCAATATTTCTTTATTTGTCTTTCCCTTTGCAAGCAACACTCTATTGCTTTTGGAAATGTCTTTAGATAAGATTCTAGCCACAACACTGGCCATTCCAGATTTTTCTTCAACATTTTCTTGTGGATTTCCTTCTGTACCTATGTCAGAATGTCTGTCATCTTCTAAGTCTGAAAGTCTATCTCCTGCTGAGTTTTCTGAACTATAATCATAATCATCATCATCTGTCTCGCTGTTCATGCTTGCCATGTTGTTTTTGTTATAAAAACATTTCAGGAATCTTTTATAACTATATTTATAACTTGTTGATAGTAGTTATTATAATTGAAGACTTGCATTATCTACAAATAAAATATTTCATAAACGTTAAAGTTTTCAGTTTAGACTAGAGTCAAATAATAAGTGTACAATCAATAAAATAGTAAATACAAAATAATTATAAAGTAGTTTTAATATTAACGTTTAATTAAGTATCAAACAATGAATCTTTTTAAAAGAAATTATATTGCAGTTGAATGTGTCTGTGTTATTTACGGTTTTTAATAAACAATTAATTTATAGCCTCCCTTGTTTTGAAGTTGTAAATGGTAAGCGGGATGAAAATATGGGTACTTAATGATAATTCAAACCGATTTTCACTTTGATTATTAAAATATAAAAATGGTATGACGTCACACTTTTGCATTATAAAAAGCAATGTTAGAAAACGAATTTTAGCCGTTATTTCGCGTCTTAGAAAACTGTTTTAATAAATTGTAATAGGAATTGATTAAAATACTTTATGTTGACATTGACAGAGCTCAGACAAGATTTTGGAAAAATATCGTATTTTATGGAAAATTCAACTTCAATTTTGAGGGGGGGGGGGGTGGGGTTGTAGGCTGAGGTATGACGTCATTTTAGAGGGTGTGGTCTGGTTTTTTGTGACGATACGTGACGGAGGGGAGGTGGAGGTAAAAATCGTCCAAAAAGCGTGACGTCATTTATGGATGACCCTATAGGCTACTGAAAGTGCCAGCAATAGGTTTTTTTTTACTAGCAAAGCGGGCTGGTGACTCGATAATTCATGTAAAACTATTGCACACAACAATCTATCTTCGTTGTTTTTTTTGTGTATACATGAATTAATATAGCGGATTTCAGCTTTTTTTGCATCATTTTGTTTGACAAATTCGTGCACAAATGTTGAAATGTCATTTGTCAAACGAATCACTTTCTCCATATACAGTGTTTCTTCCAGATTTTTTTTTTCTTCGAGGGGGAAGGGGGGGGGGGGACTTGAAATTCTCAGGGGGAGGGTGGGGTGGCGCACTTAAATTTCCGGGGGGGGGGGATGGGCACTGTTAAAAGTATATATTTAAAAGTATGAATTTTAGCGCAATTTCCATACTGGACCATTGCGATTATTATAATATTAAGTCGCCATTTCTGGATGTGTGTCCGCAGCTTTAAGTCGTATCTCCTCCTCAACGAAGCAATATCGAGGACTAGTTCCAAAAGCAAATATGTTACGCAAGTTCCGAGGATGATTGTGGGCCAAAAAAATTCACGGAATTCCTTCGTAGATTTCCCGGAAAAGCCAAAAAAACTCGAAAAAAAATGCAGTTTTTTGCCCATATCTCGGCAACCAGACCACTTAGCGACTTCAAACATGTACCAATAGATTTTTGCCATAATTTAGAACAATATTGCCGAAGAAAGTTTTCAAAAATATCCTTTCGTTCGGTCACAAAATGTTTTTTTAAATTACATTAACACCTACAAACCGATCGTTTTCCTGGCTTGAACGCACCCCAGCATTATTCGTCTTTGTGATCACTATCTATTTTTAGATAACATAAGGAAATTGCGCTTAAATTGTCACTAGACTTTTTATTAACTTGTTTTTGTTTGTTTGATTTTCTTAGCTCAAAATTATTAATTAATCTGAGTTTCACCTGTAAATTATTTCATCTTTTTTTTTTTTTTTAAATTTATGGATTCAGATTTGACAATTACAATGGCTAAATTAAATTATTGAAATGTTAGAAGGATAAAAAATTTTAATAACAGAGTAGGCGAAAATTCATTGATTCAAGTATTTTACGAAGCTATTTTTACAAATTTATTTTTATACCTTTCCTAAATTTTGTTAACCCTTCTGTAGGTTTTTTTTTTCATGGTCAGCAGTAGATATCAAGTTAGTATTTGAGCCCCCCCCCCCCCCCTGAATATGAAATGAAAAGACATAATATATATAAAATATATATTTTACTTTCACCACAGTCACCCCCCCCCCCCCCCCCGCCCCCTTCGGAAATTTTAAACAACAAAATATTCTCTTTAGAAATATCATACTTCATTAAAATACGTCACTATTACATAAACCAATGTTTAATGGCACATATATGTCTAAACAGACTGCCAAATGTAGATCTATATATTAAAAATAAAATAAAATGTACTTACCCACAGTAACCGCCCCTGCATTTTGTCTTGCGTGTCTCATGGGCGGTAACTGTGTATTTAACGTTGATACACTGGATTGCCGCCCTTTGACCGGAGCGCCCGCTGGAGCAGTTGTATTAGGACAGGGGTCGGCAACCTTTTGAGACGGAAGAGCCAAAAATCCCAATTTACCAAATTTCTTAGTCTTTAAAGAGCCACTAATAATTTTATTTTAATATTAATATATTTAATTAGGATTATAATATATATATATATATATATATATATATATATATAAAACCCACCCTTCATTTTAATTTTAGTAATGCTGAAGTGATTCATGCTAATTAATAGTAGCATTGGTTTTATCACGATATTTTTTTTTTTCAAATTTACCGCTCTCCGTGTCTTCAACAAAATGAAAACTTTTTTCAAGCAAGGCGTACGCTGGGTTTTCCTTTCCTTGCAGTTGTAGATTAAACTCGTTTAGTTTCTTTGTGATATCCACCATGAAGTTGAATGTTTCAATGCGGGATAGACAAGTTAATAGAAAGTACATTTAAATAGGGAGTAACTAAATATTCTAATATTCTGTTTATAATTATATCATTATATCGTTCAGTACCGAGTGTTGCAGAACGATATGTTGATGAGTTTTGAAAATAAAATAAAATAAAATAACTATTAATGTTTGTGCATGGAGATGAAGAGCCGCATCTCTACATCAAAAGAGCCGCATGCAGCTCGCGAGCCGCAGGTTGCCGACCCCTGGTATAGGAGAACATTCTTTTCTCAGACTGTGTCACGGTTAGGGGTGAGGACGGTCTTCGCTTGGTGGGGTGGTGGTCTTTGGACGATACCCCTGGGGGTGAGAGGGTTTTACGTCAACAGTCAGGTCTGGTAACTATTTGATTACCTACAGGGCAGTAGTGGTCTTATTTTTTTTAATATTTATAGTGCAATGGTGAAAATAATTTACTCCTACCGTAATTAGACCCTTGCCCATAAACAGAGTTTCTTTCAGGCGTCTCTTCGCCCCCCCCCCCCCCCCCGAAAATTTTTTACCGCCCCCCCCCCCGAACAAAATGAAATGTATATAATTTATATATAAAATATATACTTTTAACAGTGTCCCCCCCCCCCCCGAAGAAAGTCTACCGCCCCCCCCCCCCACCCGAAAATTTCAAGTGTCCCCCCCCCCCCCGGAGAAAAAAGTCTGGAAGAAACACTGCCCATAAACCTAACCAAAACAAGCTCTATCCAAGTACATAACCCCAGCCATAACCCTTCCAGCAACAACATGAAGGAAAATGACATTGATTCGATTCTCTGTTTCCCTATTAGAGACCAAAGTGCCAAAAACAACAATGAATCAGCATCTCGCAGGCTCAATTACTTAACCAATCAATAGTTTAGCAAACTAATGTGAAGAGCCTTGAGTTAGAGAGATTCTGGTGCTTTAATGTTATACGCGTACTGGAGAAATTAACTCACATTTTCATTTATAGTCTCGCAGAAAACCATTCTATATATATATATATATATATATATATATATATATATATATATATATATATATATATATATATATATATATATATATATATATATATATATATATATATATATATACAAATATATATAATACATCTATATATATATATATATATATATATATATACATATGAATATATACATATATACATATATTTACATATATATATATATATATATATATATATATATATATATATATATATATATATATATATATATATAGGCCTATTTGAGCTTGACAATGTTGATTTAGTTTCTCAAATTTATATTTTTGCATGAGGTGCTCAACTGACTCCCCCTAACTTCGTCACATACATATAACCTTGTCCTAACGCTCTGAGTTCTTTTGTTATCGACACATCCTTAGCATAAACACTCTAAACCTAACGCTATTATGTCCACTCATTCTCTACCTATATCTGATTAGCTAATACAGTAGTTTGATATAGTATGACGTCACCTCCTATAAAATACAAAGTGTTTTTCGCCCTTGTCAGCGCACGTCTGTTAAGATTGTATGGAAGACCGTGTGAGTTATTTTTGCCGATTTCCTGCCATTTGTGTCTGTCATACAGCCTACAGTAGAAAATAAAAATTTATCGCAATGGATTTCAGTCAACAAATTTCTTTAGCAGAGAAATTTCTTTGAAGAGAAAACAATTCAATATGGGTAGAATTAGAATGAATAGGATTTCGTCCATAAATGACGTCACACTCGTAGGGGGGAGGGGGGTCCGTAATTTTGTGACGGGGTGTGATCAGGGGGAGGGTTCAGATTGTGTGACGTCACAATTTCGAATCATAAAAAAGCAATGTAAGAAAATGAATTTTAGACGTTATTTTGCGTTTTTAGAAAACGGTTTTAATAAATTGTAATAGGAATTGATTAAAAATTAAAATGCTGTAAGTTGACAGAGTTTTTACAAGATTTTTGAAAAATATCGATGCTTTAAGAAAAATTCAACTGCAGTTTTGATGGGGGTTGTAAACTGAGGTGTGACGTCATTTTAGGGGGTGGAGTCTGGCTTTTTGTGACTATGTGTGACGGAAAGGAGAGGCAAGGTAAAAATCGTCAAATCGACGTTATTTATGGATGACCCCTCAATAAATGACGTCACGATGATGTTACGGCAACTATAACTATCGTCCTTGTAAACAGCGTCAGACTAACTACTACCACTAAGGGAATGTAGGACAGAAATTTTAAGTGATTCTGTAACAACATGTATTCTTTGTTGTTGTGGGTTAGCTTTCATACAGGAACACGATCAACAGTGGCAACTTCAAATGACAACTTTATTTACACTATGTACAGATAAATCCGTGGTACATCCATATTTGAAGATCAACTGATATAGGTACAAATAATAATCACGACTCCAAGTCATGGAGACATCTTACATTCACTGCCATCGTTCCAGTCCCAAGTCCTAGCACACAACACCCGTTCACCTTTCGCTCTCTCTCTTATTCACCACTTTCTCTCCCCTTACGTCAATGAGCGATCTCACCCAAAACACGGAAAAACACATGACGATCGCTCAGACAGTCCTTCCGCTAGCCAGGTACTCTTCATTCATGCAAAACACAATATAATAAAGATACATAATAATACAGTCTGTGACACGTCCCCCCTTCGAATAAAATTTTGTGTAACAAAATTTATAAATACAATATTGGTAGGGCAGGATCATGTGCCAGACAACAAAATTTTTATACATCTCAAAAAACATGGAAAAATACATTCTTTGTAGACTAATGCACAAGCATTATGTGTAATATATTCAAATATGAGAAAGAAAAACATTTCAATTACCAAGTAATTGTATAAACAAGACAAATGAGTTTAGTGAATTACCAAACTATAATACATAGTTGAAATTATCAAAGACTTAATTCAACTCATGAATTAAATAATTATATCCTATGTAGTAAAAAAAACTTCCTTATCATCAAGGCATGTTATTACTACACATAAGTAATATACCTTATTGTCTCCCCTAGTCGACCCATTTCAGTCATATCTAGGTCACAACACAACATTCTTGCCTTTCACAGGTATCGACTGATACAATTCATCATTGAGACTTCCGTCTTATTGTTATGCGGAATAAATAGTCTCTAACTTTTACTTGATTTACTTTATTCACTGTTAATTAATAGTATAGAAAAGGTTTAACATAATACAGTTTTCATTCTTTTGAAATATTACACAATTTATATAATTTATATTTACTGATACAAAATGTTTGATATCCATATTCTACAGTTACAGACTGTATAATATTAATACACTGTCAATTGATAATTTAATCTTAGCATCCTCTATAGCATGAGTAATCGTTCTCGTGCAGTTGACGATGACCTGTTTGCCATCTCTCCCTGAAATTGTATGTGTAGCTTTTAGCTTTGCTACCATAATGATCTCCTATATTTCGTGTAACTTGTGTTACTTCATTTGTTTTAATATTCTTCTCTGGTTTCTGAACAACGTCAGTAGTTATCTTGCTTTGTGTACGTTCGTTTGGTTCATCAACCAACTCAATATAAATATTATGGCATTGCTTTGGCCTTTCATAATACATCTTGCTTCGGTATCTTTCATTAGAACATGATATATTCTTTCTTAAATTACTATATTTCCCACATGACTTTCTTTGTACATAATTGTTTCTTCTCTGATTTGCCAACCTATGCCAACATTGATTTTGGTAATGACCTGTTTTTCCGCAGTAAAAACATCTAGATTTTGGCTTCTTATAAACATGGTGACTGTATTCATAGTTTGCTAAATTTCTTTTTCTTTCATTCTGTGCATTAATGCCATTAATGACATTCTTATTAACATGTTGACTGTATTCATAGTTTGCTAAATTTCTTTCACTTTCATTCTGTGCATTAGTGACATTATAGTTTCTAGATATTGTTTCATCTTTCTTAACTTCCTTGTGCTTCTTTATTGATTCTAGTTCACACATAAATTTCTGGGTTAATTTCTCAATTTCTTTGTTAAATTTATTCTTGAGTTCTAGTATATCTTCTTTATAGTTTGACTCCAATTTTCGAAGTAAATCTTCAATAGGTACGTTTTCTTCATTGTGGCTTATTAAGTTCACTGATTCATTAATCATCATTAGTTTATCATGATTCCTGCCATTCTCCGATGGACTTATTAAATCATCACTGCCATTGACTGATGGGCTTATTAAATCATTTTGATTACTATTCTCTGATGGACTTATTTCTTTTTGACTGCCATTCTCTGATGGACTTACAATACAACTTTCACTAATTTTCTCGTGTACCTGCATTTGAGTCAATAAAGAGTCAATCTTATGACATTCTAATGTATCTGTTACCTTGAAATCATTAGTAAGTTCACCCTCTGTTTTATCCTTGGGTTTCAATTCTTCCTGGACTATGTTACTTAGTTCTTCATTCCAAAGGTTGCCAATATTTACTTCTTCAAGTTCTGCTTTAAGTTCTGTCTGTTCACTTTCTAATTTTGGTTCATTTGTGTCTGTTATATCTTTCATTTCTAATAGTTCTTGTTTATATTCTAGTTCATGTAGGCCAACTTGTTTTTCCATAGTTTCAGCCCTATTATCTGCTCTCTGTTTTCTGTTTCTTTTTTCCGCTTTCCTTTTGGTTGTACAGTCTCCTCTGCTTTATCTAATTCTGAAATGTCTTCTTCTTTATGCATGTCTGTAATAGCTCTTGATCTATTACACACTATTTCTATCATATCATCTAGTTCTCTCAATACATTTCCATGAGCTCGTCGGGGTTGGTCTGTTTCTTCGTCCCATGCTTCTTTTGCTTCTTCTATGTCTTTTTCAAGTCGATTGGTTGCCCAGGCTATCTGCTTATTCATCTTCTTAATGCCTTGCGCCCTCGCTAGTGCTAGATATTCTTCAAAACATGACATTTTGATATATTTTCTATGACATAAAATATAAATTCATTAGTTGACAATAGATAAATGTTAATTAATTTACAATACCCTTTCTTGGTTTCTGGCTTGTTTTAGTTGATTACAGACATCTGGTAATCCAAGAAAAGTTCATAGTGCATATATACGTCCAAAAATAGTTCACTTTGTTGATTCCAAAAAGTTGAACAAATTCAAAATAGTTCTAGTAGCCTGTTACAGAGTAGAAATTTGTCCAGTTTTAGATAAGACATCTTTAGGAACAGTTTAGGAACAGTTACAAAAATAAACTTGATCTGCTAAATCCAAACAGTAGAAAAACTTGAACAGCTAATCCATATAGAAAAAACTTGAACAGCTAAATCCAAATAGGAAAAAAAAAACACACAAAGACGATATTTACTCGACATTGGTGAGACAATATCGAAGTAAGGTGATAAAAATTATCACGTTGATGACTTGACTTGAACAAAACGTCTGACTTGACTACAGCAACCCTTCTGACTTGAGTGTAGATAGATGACTTTCAAGAACTTGACGTACTTGGTAAACAGTGGAAGACCACAGACTGTAATATCTCCATTTCTGACATATGTAGCACCAATTCTTCAACCACTTGTGACATCATAAGTAACAGTAATACAATGTAGCAACATCACTTTATTGCCTCCACTTCTGACACCATATGTAACAACATGTATTCTTTGTTGTTGTGGGTTAGCTTTCATACAGGAACACGATCAACAGTGGCAACTTCAAATGACAACTTTATTTACACTATGTACAGATAAATCCGTGGTACATCCATATTTGAAGATCAACTGATATAGGTACAAATAATAATCACGACTCCAAGTCATGGAGACATCTTACATTCACTGCCATCGTTCCAGTCCCAAGTCCTAGCACACAACACCCGTTCACCTTTCGCTCTCTCTCTTATTCACCACTTTCTCTCCCCTTACGTCAATGAGCGATCTCACCCAAAACACGGAAAAACACATGACGATCGCTCAGACAGTCCTTCCGCTAGCCAGGTACTCTTCATTCATGCAAAACACAATATAATAAAGATACATAATAATACAGTCTGTGACAGATTCAAATTAAAAAGAATAACAATTCACAATATTACCAGAGGTTGTTATGAGCCTTCCCTCCGTTGTATCCTCCTGCACAAATTAACTCTTTGCCGTTGTTTGCGCATGCGCAGCCAGACCGAGGCGACACGAGAGATCCGCATTTGGACCAGAGGTTAGTTTCCGGGTCATAGATCTCACAACTTCCGGTTACTTTACCATCGTCTGTCTCTCCACCTAGAACCACACATATATGTATACGGCAGGTATGTCTGAGAGGGGTGGGGGGGGGGGGGTGAATGATGAGAAGGCAGAAGAGAGCAGAGGCGTAGCGACCCATTCCGGGACGAACTTTCAATTGTGCCCCCCCCCCCCCCCGGTTAGTTAGCCAAGTAGCTTAATTGCTATTGTATTTAATATTGTAAAGCAGCTCAGAATTAGCTTTTAATATTTTTTTCTACCCCGTCTGGCGCCCCCCCCCCCTAGGGGCAACACCCGGGGCAACCGCCCCACCCGCTCTCCCAGGATTCGCCTCTGAAAGAGAGGCCAGGGAAGGGTTAAAATAAGGGGGAGAGAAAGAGAGGTTTAACCAGGTTATAGACCTATGTATTCTATTCTAACTAAACTCTCCACCCAACTGCTGATTTTGCTTTTTTTTTTAAAGCCTCGACAGGGTAAGGCTGTTTCAAAACTGATTTTGCATGTAATCGATTCATTGAACCTAACCTTCGCTGAGGCCGTAATCTTTGCAATAATCCCATAAACTCTAACAGCCACACCAGTAGAACCTACCCACCACCCCCCACCCCTTATCCCAATTAAACTCAACAACATTTCGTTTCAACTTGCCGAATCGTCACCAGAAAATAGATTTCTCTACAGTAGAAACAGATTAGGCAGTGCCGGCGCCAGGTTATTTAGCGCCCTAGGCAAAACTTATTAAAACGCCCCCTTTCACTTAAATTACTTACTAAAACATGTATAAGAAAACAATTAATTAAAAGTGACATATTTCTTTATTATCAAATGAACATACATCAAAAGTAGACATCAAAATTAAATTTTACTTGCTTTCTTTGTCGCAAAAGTTTGTACTAACTCCTTGAATTCCAGTTTGCAAGCGTAATCAAATTCTATTAAAATTGTCCACGAGTGTAGGGGCCTACTTTGTACTTTACGACATAGCCCCCCCTCCCCTTAGAAAATTTCAAGTGCTTTCCTCCCCTCGCTCACGGGAGAAAAAAAAGTCTAGAAAAAACCACAGTTCTTGTTGTGTTGGGCTCACTGTAGACCTCCCAAGGTGAGTTCCAGGACAGAGCTTACCTGTTTTAAGCTTAACTGTTATTTGTTATAATTGTTAAATGTCTATATTGTATAATTATGTTACGATTTTTTTTTTGCTTTTGAAAAATTAAAGGTTATAAATGTTATAGATTTCAGCCTACAATTGTTATATATAAATCCTTTAGGCGAGGGTGAAAAATATGAAAAAGACAATTAATTAGATAATTAATTTGCGACTTAGACTATTTTAGACGCATTTGTTGCACTTTCTCATTTTGTATGTCTACTAACATTAGGTATTGCAATCTACAACGGCTACTGATATATTTGTTTTTCAACTGGATAATGCTAAAAAATCATACCAAACTTTTTTGTTTAGAATTTCTGCTCTATAATTTTAACAAAAGCAAATAATAACTTTAAGTTGTATTTATATGTCAGCGGTCAATCTAAGATGCAGGAATTTGAAACGAATGTAAAGTTAAGCAACAAATTATCTCCCATTTGGAAACCCAAATACCAAAATCTAATACAAGGGAAATAACTTTCACAAGAATAGCTAAATTAACCAAAGGTAACTAAGACATGCTTGAAAAACACAATGAAACGGTCTAAATTTCATTACGTAATAATTATAATAAATCTTTTATATTACCTATGTAATCATGTCAAAACAATATATTTTACTTATTAACTACTTAACTGTAGGTTTTGCTTGAAAGTTTAAACACGTTAGTTTTATTAGAAACATATTTCTAATTAATATTGATGACATACTTTCAAGTGTGTTAGTTTGTACCAGTAAAAATACTAAATTTTGGATCCCCTGAATAAGGGGACGCCTTTTTTAAAAAATCAAGTACAGGAAACTGTTAACTTTAAGACATTGCCTTAATTATAGATTATATATTAAAAAAAAGTATGATTTGAAAAAAAAAGCATACGGTAAATTATAAATTCCAGCCTATGTAATATTATATATTATTACTTTAAGAGTGGTAATATAGATTCCCAAAAACCTAAAGATTGTCAGCAAGAGAACGCCTACCTTTCTTTGTAGTGTGTTCCGTCCTGAATTGAAATCATCTAACTTTTAATAAAATCAACTGCTCATAGACTTTATTACATTAACAACACATATCAAACTTTGATACCTAAACATAACTAGACTTGATGCTCCAGAACTACGACACCAAATCGCTTAACTTCACCAAGCTCTACAAACGATATTCCCAATCAACAACGACTTAACTGGACCAACTACTACACGTTAACAGTCAATACCTTAATACCACAAGCCTCGATAGTCCCGAACTCCAACACTACGATACTTCATCACCTACATTCTCATTTCACTACTACCAATCATTCCGCTAGGCTTTTAACTACACAACAGCCGAATAAAAAATACAACACTTTAAAACTTCGATACTTTATACCTACGAAACCATATCAGCAACAGCCTTCCGCCGTTACTCCCAAATCTAAACGATTCATCAAAACTTAACAAACAAGTGCAATACTTTGAACACCCCGTCATTACAAAACTCAATACACCAGAACAGATTTCTAATTTAAAGTCAGAGAAATCGAGACTTACAAGCCCTATTAAAAACCAAAATTTCACGTGTTTTGGAACGCCCCGCCATGCGCTGGAGCGATCACTAAATCAACATTAAAACTAGATAACCGTTTGAAATGTTCGAAATTTAAATAATGAACTTATTTAATCGCTTTCTTCATCAATTATGTGAAACCAAAATAAAAAAGCAAAGTGACTGGTAAAAAACGCCCCGACCTTTCCAAATTAGGGACGTATGGGTGCATTTTTACCAACGCTAATAAATGTAGGCCTATATAGGCCTAATTTTGGGGTGGGGGTGCAAAATTGGTAATTCGTCCTGGGTGCCGAAATAGATCGCTACTCATTTCTTTATTACCCTGTCTATCTATGTATATAATCCTCTACATGACCGTATCGCTACCACCCCCACTCCCTCCAGTCTGGTGAGCTGTTTACAATCGTATTGACGTCTATTAGGGGCAGATAATTTAGTTTTTAAACGATTTTAAATTAAGGGGAGGTAATAACATGTTCTACTTGATCTTTTCATTGTTGTCTGTAAACTGTCATCACGGACGGCTGCTTTCATGGAGGCTGGGGGGGGGGGGGGGAGGCAAAGGGGTGGTAAGTGAGGGTGAAGATAATCGTCCTTCACTAGCTATTGATAGTGTTTTACAGCAAAATATTTTCAGTTAAAGCATTGGTAGTGTCGAATTCACAAATAATGAGTTACTGGAAAATAGGAATTAAACTAAATAGCGTCGTGTGCTACGTCGCGGGTCAGCTTGTAGTTTATAAAAGATAATCAAAGTTATTAATTATTGGGTACTTTTTGATAACAGCGATTAAACCTTTTGCACCCCCCCTAGTTATGGCGCCCTTGGCGACCGCCTAGTTCGCCTTATAGGTAGCGCCGGCCGTGAGGTAAGGGCATCAACTCAGTGTACGTAGGCCACTGAAAAAAGTAAAGATTCCTCTCCAGACATAGCAATCCATTGGGTTCATGTTTCTTGACCTCGGTTATGAAGTGATGGTGTGGTCAGAACTTTCCCCAACGTAAGTCAGGTACCCATCAGAGCTGGGTAAACTCTGGGACGACCTACAGTCATAAGTCCGAACCGAGATCCGAACTCGAGACTTTCGGGCTAGCAGTATGAAACTGCTCTGTAATTATAAAACTGTTCTGTAATTATAAAACTGTTCTGTAATTATAAAACTGCTCTGTAATTATAAAACTGTTCTGTAATTATAAAACTATTTTGTAATTATAAAACTGTTGTGTAATTATAAAACTATTCTGTAATTATAAAACTGTTCTGCAATTAAAAACTGTTCTGTAATTATAAAACTGTTCTGTAATTATAAAACTATTCTGTAATTATAAAACTATTCTGTAAATATAAAACTGTTCTGTAATTATAAACTGTTCGCAATTATAAAACTTATGTAATTATAAAACTATTCTGTAATTATAAAACTATTCTGTAAATATAAAACTGTTCTGTAATTATAAAACTGTTCGCAATTATAAAACCGTTCTGTAATTATAAAACTGTTCTGTAATTATAAAACTGTTCTGTAATTATAAAACTTTTCTGTAATTATAAAACTGTTCTGTAATTATAAAACTTTTCTGTAATTATAAAACTGTTCTATAATCATAAAACTGTTTTGTAATTATAAAACTGATCCGTAATTATAAAACTGTTCGCAATTATAAAACTTATCTGTAATTATGAAACTGTTCTAAAACTGTTTAGCAATTATAAAACTGTTCTGTAATTATAAAAGTGTTCTGTAATTATTAAACTGTTCTTTAATTAAAAAACTATTCTGCAATTATAAAACTGTTCTGTAAGTATAAAACATTGGTATGTACCTACCACAGACAAAAATTCTCCCTTTAACAACACAGACCCCAAATTTACACCTGGCCACAGACATGCTTCGACATTCGAACCATTCGTCAGTACACGGGTTGTATCTGTGGACGAACGAATCGATCAGGTGCGATAACTCTTGTCATTATTACAGTGAAAGAAAAAAATGCATTTCGTCGCACCAAGAAAATGTACTAGATTTTCATTGATCATCGCCCCTTACATTGCATAATTTTTAGTCACTTTTAGTACACTTTTTTTACGACTCAATTCTAAATGCCGCGAAACGTTTGGGGGGAATTTTTATACCACTGTCCGATAATATAATCTTCTTTAAAAAGGGGTGTAAGGTCACTGGTAGTTAACTAAAATGCACACGTGGCTTGCTAATGTCAATGTTAAACCTATCCCTAACCCTAACCCCAACCTTAGTCCTACCATACGTCTAACTCAAATTTTTAGCCATAAAATTTGTCGAGATTACAATACTACTAACAACCCAAAACACCTATTTTTGGAAGAGTCTATTATCGGACATCTGGTATCTAACTAAAATCATGTCATTAAAAAGTTGTTAAGACTGAGATGAGTTGTGTTCGTGGATATTTTAAATCTCGAGAGCCGACTACATACGTGAATACTTATTCTAGTATTCTTATTTCAGCGATTTAAAACCTTGTTATAATAAAGGATTTCAGAAACGTTTTATTTCTCTGTACACTCTGAACCGCCCATATCTCTTATAACACATTTGAATGATAATCCTCCACACTTCCACCTTTTGTTCAGAGGCGTAGCTAGGGGAGGGCGGGTGGGGTGGCCACCCCGGGTGCCAACACTAAGGGGTTGAAAAAAATTATAAAACTTATTCTAAGCTTCATCACTGAATTACACACAGTCAAAGTTAAGAAAAGCTACTTGTCTTTATTAAACTTCATCAATTGTTTGACACTAAAATACAAAGAGATAAGTGACAGGTAAAAAAAAGTCTATAACTATATAAAATGTGGAGGGGGCGCAAAATCGTTAGTTCACCCAGATTTGCACCCCCCTCAAACTTTTAATTTGTTTTTACAACCCATTTTTGCGCCCCCTAAGGTCGGCGCCCGGAGACATGTGTCCCCCCCCCCCCCGGCCCCTCCCCTCCCCTCGCTACGCCTCTGAAGCAAAACAAATAGAAACTCCCCCCCCCCTCCTCGGTAATCGTCGTCGAAGACCCCCCCCCCCTCTGACACACACACCAAGCACAACTAAAAGCAGAATCACCCACCTGACGACTCTGGTCAAACAACGACCTTGAACTTTGTCGAAGCCGCCCAGGATGTAGATGGACTTCCCAAGGGCGACCACTCCGAAATCTGCCACCCCGTACGTCTGCTGCCATTTCTCGATGTGCACGCGGTACGACACGATGGCGGAAAAATTTTCCGTGAGGAGGAGGTAACTCACTTCACCCGACCCGGTACGGCTAACCACGTACAATCGTCGTTCGATCATAGAGTCGCCTCCCTTATTAAACCTGACGTCATTTGGTGACGTGTTTTCATCTACACTCTTTGAGGCGTTCTCCACAAGAATGCGCGCGGCCATGACTTCCGGAGACGTCATGCTGGTTTGTTCAGCGGCTGACATGTTTAGGTCATTGAGACGAAATCAGTAATTATTGTAATTAATTAACTTCCCAATAAAAATAATGTTATTTCGCACTTTTTCACATTGGCATATTCAATACTTGAATTCTGAAATGTTAAAAAATAAGCTACAAATATAAACAACAGATAGTAACATTGATATTGTTTTATATCAAACATTTTCTTTAAAATAATACAAATTACATTCTGAAATATATATATATATATATATATATATATATATATATATATATATATATATATATATATATATTACGGTCAAAGCCCGAAGTCGGCCAATGCTAGGATTGGCCGGCCAATCCGCGCATTGGCCAATATCGCCTCCCATAGGTCGGTCAAAGTCCGAAACTTTGCTTGATTTCGGCCTTTGGCCGGCCAATCCGCAGACTGGCCATGGTGGACCGGCCAAAGTCTTAATTAGAAGATCATCTGGCTAGGGACGACCGGCCAAAGTCCGAATTAGAAAATCATGAGCAGATTTTGGGTTTTTTAATGCCGTAAGGATCATGGAATTAAGTTTTTATTGATTATTAATTAAAGTAAATGACAGAAACATTCAAATTTTTTATTGTAATATAGTCTCAATCAATCAATATTATCATTTGTTACAATAAGTTGAACTTTTATGGCATTTAGAATTACATAGCAGCTTGTTATTTTTACACTTGCAGCGATTTGTTGTGCACTTGGTTGTGCAATTGCAGCGAGTGTAGCCTTGGCCCCCAGTCAATGATTGTGAAGATGGGATGGTTCGTAGTGATTTTTCCTCAGTGCCAACTGACGACAATAAGAGCAGTTTTTCGTGAAGAATTGAAAACTCACTTCTGGCATACAGTTGTTTTAGAACACCATGTTCCGTTCCTAATTTGTAGAAACCGCCCTCGACGCTCATGACAACTGCAATCACGCTCACACACACCATCTTTAAATTTTGTATTTGATGTTTTAAGCATCTTAGCACCTTGATTTTGCAAGCCAGTATGAGCTGCTGACCTGTGTTCCATGATGTCTTGTTTGTTGTTACACAATCTACAGGTAATGTTCCCTCCGTACACTTCGTCTGCTTCATTGGGTACTCCACAAATAGCATGGACATCTTTGCCACAGGATCCACAAGAATGAGCTGTACAAAAAAGAGCTAAACAATACGTTACTTACAATGAAACCGCACCCAGAATAATGAAAACGCGATCACAACTTAGTCTAGATAGAACATTGGCCAGGTCATCCCGGCCAATGCGCGCATTGGCCAGCCAATGTACAAAATATGCTGTCAAGTTTAAGCACTTCGGACTTTGGCCAGTACGTCCCGGCCAGTGCGCGCATTGGCCGGCCAATGTACGAAATACGATCTTAGTTCTAAGTTCTTCGGGCTTTGGCCAAGAGAGCCGGCCAATCCGCGCATTGGCCGGCCAATCCGGGGTTTGGCCGCACTTCAGGACTTTGACCGTAACATATATATATATATATATATATATATATATATATATATATATATATATATATATATATATATATTTTTTTTTTTTTTTTTTCACGTAGTTTTTTTAAACTGTGTAGGGGTCATCCATAAATTACGTCACGCTTTTTTGACGATTTTTACCTCCCCCCCCCCCTCCGTCACACGTCGTCACAAAAAGCCAGACCCCTCCCCTAAAATGACGTCACACCTCAGAATCGCAGTTGAATTTTTCTTAAAACATCGATATTTTTCCAAAATCTTGTCAGAACTCTGTAAACATAGAGTATGTTGGTTAATTCCGATTACAATTTATTAGAACAGTTTTCTAAAACTCAAAATAACGGCTAAAACTTGTTTTCTAACATTGCTTTTTTTATGCAAAAGTGTGACGTCACACCATCTGAACCCCCCCCCCCCCCTCCCCTCATCACACACCGTCACAAAATTATGGACCCCCCCCCCTCCCCCCTACGAGTGTGACGTTATTTATAGACGACCCCATATTGATAAACATACAGAGAGTAAAAGTGTGGTTAGCATTGAAAAATGTCTGGGTTGGATCCGAAACCACGACTTTACATTGGCATTGGCATCATATCACCATGATGAAAAACTAACGAATGAAAAAAAAAAACTCTGCAGTCAGCATAGACCTAACTGAACTGAAGCCGTTTTTAAACGGCTAGCGACCCCGTGTTTTATCGATTAGAGTGTACTGGCCCTCTCACTTTCCCAATGCCGCAAATCTTCACAGCTACCGTGTCTGTCTAGCAGACGGTATCTCCCGGTATTGACGTAGGCTGTGTAATCGATATTGCGATAATTCTGGGCCGTTAATGCTGTTGCCAATGCACTCGATATGAGATCGTTTTAATTAAACATAGTCAACACAAGTCTTCGAGTCAGGCGTGTTTGTTGCGTCATGCAGGGGAATGAATAACTAGCTGGAGACGTTTTTAACCACCGCATGTAATTTAGTTTTAAAAAATCTTGTGCGATTAAAAAAAAAAAAAATTCCCTCATAGATTTTCACAACAGTGAGTTAAGTGTTGCCCTAGTTCGAGCCAGTGTTTTTTTCAGACTTTTTTTCTCCGAAGGTGGGAGGGCGTCACTTGATTTCCGGGGTGGGGGGGGGGGGAGCGGTGTCCAACGAGATGCTAGGGTTGACTGGCAGTTTCAAAAAGTGTCAGTAAAATTAGAATTATTCCGGAAAGTATTTCAATAAAATCCTTTTTAATTTATATACATCATTTTTTAAAATTAGCTAGTGGTTTTTATTTAAAGTTATTATCCAAATAAAAATTTAACATTAAGAAAATCTTTAAACACTAATTTGGTGTATATTAAAATTTTAATATTTTTATAAAAAAAAAAAAAACAAACACTAGTTTGCCTTTTGTTTTATTATTTATGAATTTATTAACTTACTTAACCATATTTTGGATTGTGGTTATCAGTTTTCTTTCTTGAATATTTTAAATTAGATAATTGAAAATAAAATCAATTGCTGGGTTCTGAACTAGATGCATTAAACTTTCTATTTTACAAAATTTCAGTACTCTGTGCTTTTCTCCTAAACAATGTTTTAGTTTTCATTTCACGTTATTATATATATATATATATATATATATATATATATATATATATATTATATATATATATATATATATATATATCCATCTCAGACACAGCTTTATAGAACTTCTTTATAGAACCCCCCTATATCTACTCCTTCGTAGTGAGGTGTAGTGTTGTTTGCCTTTAGAATCGTGTTTATTCTAAGTCCTATGTAATAAATTGCTAAAGGGTGGTAGTGTGCTTCTAGTCTGATTCTGTCTAGGTGTTTGATTCTAAAGGCGTTTATTTTTTTATTTATGTCATGCAGACCTATACCTCCGTTTAATTTGTTTTGTATTAATGTTTGATGACTAATGTTCCTGATTGTGCCTTTGAAAATAAACTCTCTAATGCTTTTGTTTGTTTCCTTGATGAAAAAGTTGGGTACAGTACTGTTTGTTGCTATATAAAATTAAAACAACATTGACTAGCACTGATTAATGTTTAGACTGAACTTTCTCGTCATTTATACAAGTCAATTCTTTAATTCAGCTAGCTGTAAGCAATTAAAATGTGAAACTGATAAAAACTTAAAATTACAAAACAAAGGCTAAGCGATCCTTTTTATAAGATTTTAAAAATTTTCTAGTTTTGATTTACAATGCAAACAATGTTTTGTATTTTCAAAAATTATTTATGAATTTCTTTGTACATTTAGCCGTTTTTAGGAGCAAACTTGTAGGTTATTCTTCTTGGTTAATTTAAATTTATAAGTGGAAATTAGCGTAAGCGAATTTATAAAAAAAAAAGTTCTTGGTTCGGATTTAATATAATTAATTCACATGAAATTTAAATGAGCAAGATGAAAGCCCACATTTACCATATACAAATGTTTATTTTGAATATAAAGGCTTAAGTATCTATAATACTGTATTTACGACACTATATTATATTATGTATAGTGCCATATTTAAATTACTGTATTTATACTATTGTATTAGGAAACATTTTTAAAGGTAAAAACATGCCAATACCAGTGTCGGTTTGGTGAAGGGGGGGGGGGAAGATGACAAGGCACACACCGAAACCTTGCTCAAGCTTAACCCTCCCCTGATTTGCGGTAAGGTTTTCTACAAACAGTAAATATTAAATATAAATTTCATCAACCTAGCTGTAACGGTACTCCAGTTATCGTGTTTACAGACACACATACACACACAGTAGTACGAACACATTTGCAAAACTATGTTTCTCCGACTCAGGTAGGTGTAAAACGTCGATATCTGTGAAAATCTCGATTTTTTTATTTGCACGATTACAAGACTTTCTCTTTACTTCGTATATACGATATTTTTTTTTTCTTTTTTTTTTGGCCTCAGACATGTAATTTACAGCGTCAGTTGTGTGTTCGCTTTAGTATTACAGTTTTCATCATCGGCTCGTGAGGACTGATATAGATTTACAATAGTAATATTTCTTTCTTACTTGTAGCCTACTTTCATTCATTTAAGATGGTTTACTTATACATAGATCTAATACAAAACGTCTAAATATAAAAAAAAAAAAATTAAAAATAAAAAAAATAAAAAACAACCTGAAAATGCAAATGTGTAATTAAATGATGATTCAATGGATTTTTATTTTCCTCGGCGTGGTGGGTGAGGGGGGGGGGGGGGGGGGGGACGGGGTGTAATTTGGGTTTTTAAGTAGTGCTGAAATAAATGTGTGATTACAGAGAATTAAAGTGATACAAATTTTAAGCAATCGGAAAAATTATGTTATTACAACAAGACACAT